TGATGAAGGGTCTAGGCCCGAAACGTCAGCCTCTCTGCTCCTATGATGCTGCTTGGCCTGCTGTGTTTATCCAGCCCTGCACCTTGTCTCGGATTCTCCAGCATCTGCAGTTCCTACTATCTCTGCCTTCAAAGATAACTTGGAGGAACTGTGGAGTCTTGTCGGACAGCTCTTTTAATTAGGCATGCAGATAAGCCCAGATGTCGGCTTTCATGAGTTAAACTTAATCTTCAGGTGGGAAATCCAAAAATTGATGATGTCTTGAGATAAACAAAGCATTAGAAAATAAATAAGGATGAAGTGTGTTTTGAAGTTCTCAGCTATAGTGATCCCAAAAACACGTTGCTGATTATTTTCAACAATGCATTGAGTGCTGACCTTGGTGATGGATTTTCCATTGCAATTGGGCTCATAATATTTCTTGTGGGAAGGGATGGGAAATGTGGGCTTTGGCTTAGGAAGCCAAGATAATAAGGAAATTAATACAATGCACACTGGTTGCTGAAACTTACACTTGCAATACAGTGGACATGGCATTCTAATTAGATTTTGGATGAAATGAAATATGAAAGTGGAACAGCAGGGACCATGGTTCTCGAGTGCTATATCAATAATTGATCACTTTGGGATAATATGCATTCAGCAAAATGTGTAAATGAGAAAATGTTGATAATGGATATAGCAGGACTGAAGCAAATGTTGGAGAGAAAATAAATGTCTAAATTGAGATGGGTACAAGTCATCAATTATCGGACTGCTTTACCAAAAGGAATGACCCTAGTGAAAAGTTGATGAAAGAAGATAATTTTGTAATGTAACTCTTGGAAATGTGAAATTTATTTTTTTATCTGTGCCTGTAAATATGTTTCTTTTAAAAAAGATGTTTAAAAAAAAAAAGCAACCTGATATTTTGTAAACAGTGGTCTCTTTTAAGAACTGTTTGAGATAGGGAACAGCTAATGTTCATCAGATCATGTATTTTAAGGGCTATTTTCCCCAATAATGGCGTGGAAGGGGAAAGAGCAAACAAGTATTGGACCAAAAGGTATAAATAAGAGTGTTTGGAAGGTAGACTGACTTTTGCTTCGGTTTGTAGATGAGTAGCACACATCTGCCCATTATCTGCCACATCTGATTTACATGCTTGGCATTAGCCCATGATATTATCATACCAGAATTTGTCGTGTGGGTCTGTTATCAGACGAAATCTTGCAATGGCCATGTTATATCACCTAAGAATTCATCCTGCTCCTCAGTATTCTATAATGCATGGACATTCACAGACTGCTGTGGTCTGTCTTCAATTTTTTGAGCTGTTGATCAGCCTGAAATGATCTCCCACTTGGTATTTATCACCCTCTGTAATGCTTGCTGGCCAGAGCTCCCGCTGATGGGTTCTCTTACTGGTGTTTCTTCACGCGATCTCTGTTAGCAGACTTTGTTATTTTTTTTTCCCCATTTCTGCAAAACCTCTGATTCTACAGTAATCTATTGCTCCCCATGATCTGATTTATGCACCATTTTGCATTCCTTGCTGTGGGCTTTTCTTGATTTGTCAGTGTTGCACAGGATTTCAACCTCCACAATCCAATGCTCAAGTTGACCTTAAATTCCTTTGCCTCCAGCATTATACTGCAGCTGAGATGCTCTGCTGGTTTGTTTCCCAGTTCACTGGTTAGGTTGCTGGGCTGATTTCATCCTTCACCAGTACCACAGTACTGCTACTCGACTTCACTTCAGATGTTTCTTGCACTTGCTTTCGGTTCCAAGATTTGGTCACTATTGGCACCTAACACTCGGGTGAGTGAACTCGGAATGAATGTAACTATATATAAGTGATCGTAAAAGAGTACTTCTCTTGAATCTTACAGTCTTAGGTCTCATTTTTATATGACCTCACATCACTTTAAGTAGCTATTTATTATTCATCGAGTATAGTTAACCCTTTATTTCACATTTGGTCAAAAGGTCAAGATTTAATACAGAAATTTGAGCAAATAATATAGAATAACACATTATGAATCTAGTGAGTGTTTGTACTAATGGATAATGGCTGATAATTTTAGATTGTGCTCCCAACTGCCCCCTCAAGTGGAAATAATGGATACCATTACATTACTTAAAGGACAGTGAAAGCATTTTCCCTGTGACTTGGCCAGTATTAGTTCCTTAACTAGTATCAGTTAAATAGATGGTGATTATTTATCTAATTGCTAATATTTAAGTGGAGAAAATCTGCAGAAAGCTGCAACACAGAGGGGGCTTGAGGATACTTGTGCATGAAACATAGAAAACTAGCACACAGGTGCAGCAGTAGTCAGGAAGTCTAATGGAATGTTGACCCTTGTTTCAAGGGGGTTGGAGCATAAGAGTAGGTAAGTCTTAACGCAACAGTACATGATGCCGGTGAGACCACATCCAAAGTATGGTGAGCAATTTTAGTCCCTTATTTTAGGAAAGATATCATTTAATCGGAGGCAGTTCAAAAAAGGTTCACTTGGATGACGTCTGGTATGGAGAGATTATTATGGAAGCAAAGGCTATTCAGGTTGGGACTCCACTCACTGGTTTTTAGAAGAATGAGAGGTAATCTCATTACACATATAGAACTCTTAAGCAGCTTGACAGGATAAATGCTGAGTGGATGTTTCCCACCGTGGGAGATTCCAAGACCAGAAGGCATGATCTCAGAATAAAAAGGTGTCCATTTAAGATTGAGATGAGGAGGATTTTTTTTCTCTTAGAGGGTTGTGAGTCTTTGGATCTCCTTGCCACAGAGAGCTATGGGGGCAGAGCCTTTGTGTATATTTAAGCTAGAAATAGATTGAATCTTGATCAGGAGGGGAATCACAAGTTACTGGGAAAGGGCAAGCAAGTGGATAAGAGGAATATCGGATCAGCCATGATCCTCTTGAATGGCAGAGTAGGCTTGAGGGACCACATAGCTACTGCTGTTCTGTTTCTTATGGTCTTTTGTTAGTCTTGTTTTAAGACCTTTTTCTTCTAGAAGCTTTGAGTTAAGGAACTGAGCAGGTTTCATGTCCATAATCAACATTTTGTTGTTATTGTTATTTTATGGTTATCTTGTGCTTTTTAAAATATTGTTTAAGTGAAGGATAATGATATTCAACAATGAAACTTTGTACTATGTTTGCCGTGGAGAGTTGACATCAGCTACTGTTGGAACAAAATGTAGCAGTCGGATGCAAAGTGGAACAACTTCTATTCCGCTACATTGTACAGTTGACACTGCCTATTTGTATCAGCACACACTTCATATACTAAGCAGAACCCAGAAGGGCCACTTACGCAGTGTTGACAACTGCAAATCTCTCTAACTGCCTTCAATATGAATAAAATGATAGAATTGATTTATCAGAAGCAAATTTCAGTTTTATGATATTGATCAAATCATAAATGGCTTTAAATGCAGCTCAGAAGAGGAAAGTCTTGCTGGCCAGCATTTTGCATCTGTTTTGTATACTGTGCTAAACGTTTTGACATAGTGCATCTCAATTTCAAAATATCACTTGGCAAAACCTCACATACGAAAGGTTATCAATAAGCCATAAACAATGAAATATAACACTAAATCTGGGAATGGAGGAGTAATTGACTGAAGGGTAGAATGAACTGATCACAAATCATTTAAACTAGGAAGAACAGTTCATTGAAAGAGAAAAGCTGACAAAATAAATGGCCCAATGAAATTTCCTATACCAAGGGTAAAGTCAAAATGGGGTAACCTCCTTAGTCCTGAATGGTCTTAAGTTGAAGGGAAAGTAGGAGTTTATACGAATGGGAAGAAGTAAAAAAAATTCAATGTGGCAGCAAAAGCGCCCAATCAGTATAAGATGACAGAACAAATGCGTGGAACTATGACACAGAAGAGCAATAAATCAGATTAGCATTTTGGCGCAGACGTAATCAACTGAATGTTAACATCTTAATTTTTGCAGAGTCGAACTTACCTTCTAAATCAGGAATCAAGAACACTATTTATCCTTCCTCTCTCCGTTTCTCTGTCTCCTACCAGCCAAAAATATATGTTAAGAAATTTACTTATTTTTCAACTTGAGAGAATCTGCTTTAAATGGAGTTTTATCCATGTTGATATTTGTCTTGCATTTTATCAAGTGCCAGTTGTGATTGTGAAACTGACATCATAATTTGGTAGAAATATTTACAAATGTTCATTTATTTCTTATTTTCAGACAAAATTCAAGAAGCACAAAAAGAACTACAGGTTCCTGAAGATGCTCGGAAAAATTTGAAAATTCTGGAAGGCACAAAAAAAGGTGGATTTTAAGTTCATTATGTACTGTACAATTTAAAGAAAATTTGATGTATTTCTTTTTAATAAGTCATCTCCTGGATCTAAAATGAACTTGCTGTATATTGATCTTTTCAGTTAAAGGTAGAAGGACAGGTAGTATTGAGGAGGTGGGAGGCTGCAGAAGGATTTGGATAGGTAGGGGAGTGGGCAAAGAAGTGACAGATGGAATACAACGTGGGAAAGTGTGAGGTCATGCACTTTGGTAAGAAGAATAAAAGCATGGACTATTTTCTAAATGGGGAGAAAATTCAGAAGTCTGAAGTGCAAAGAGACTTAGGAGTTGAAGTCCAGAATTCTCTCAAGGTAAACTTGCAGGTTGAGTCAGTAGTCAGGAAGGCAAATGCAATGTTGGCATTTATTTTGAGAGGACTTGAATATAAAAGCAGGTATGTACTACTGAGGCTCATAAGGCCCTGGTCAGGCATTTTCCTTTGAAGGAAAGGTTTTTGAGTTAGAATCAAATTATTCCCAGTCTTTATTGGACTGAAAAAAAATTAATTTAGTTTACAGTCCATGTTAGGGTACAAAAATTTATGAGCAACCACTTCTTCCGTGGAGCTATGTTGCTTGAGACACAAGCCATTTTCATCCATGAGCAGTGGTTTGCTTTGGAACTTCGGTGAACAACAAATCAAACAGTTATTTTCTTGATCAATATGATTTAAAATTTGAGAAATCAAAAGAAAGTCTATTCATGGAATCATACAGTACAGAAGAGACTCTGTGGCTTATCGAGTGTGTACTGCCAAAAATTCATTACAAACTACACAAAATATTCCAGCTGTAACCTAACCCAAGTTCTGTACAGCTCTTATACTCTGCATCACCTGATAATGGCAAGTAACCTGTATGTCTTTTAACTACCCAATTAACCTGCCCTGCCACTTGTGGACAAGCTCCCCAGAATCTCTGTTTTCCTCTGAGCTTCCTAGTGTCCTGCCATTCATTGAGTATTCCCCCCCCATCTTGTTACTACTTCTAATGTGTATCACCTCACACGTATAAGGGTTAAACTCCATCTGCTGCTGATCTGCTCATTTGATCAGTCTGTCTATATCCTCTTGCAGTTCAAGACCTCCTTCACAGTCAACCACCCAGCCAATCTTGTGACACAAACAATAACGGAGCTAGTACTAATCCCCGTGTTACACCAATGGACACCCAGTCTCCAGTCAAACAACTTTTCCCACTATCCTCTGTCTCCTGCCACAGAGCCAATTTTGGATCCAACTTGCCAAGTTAGTCTGGATCCCAACATGCTTTACTTTATCCCACGTAGGATCTTGTCAAAGACCTTGCTGAAATCTATATGAACTACAGCAATTGCACTACCCTCATATACAGGCTCTAAAAATTCAGCCAGATTTGTTAGGCATGACCTTGCTTTGACAAAGATTTGCTTGTAAAAAAACCTCTCGTCTCTAAATGGAGATTAATTTTTGCGTTCGGAAGTTTTCCCAGTAATTTCCCTACCACTGAGGTGAGATTCACTAGTCTGTAGTTCTCTGGTCTATTATCAGCACCCTTCTTAAGAAATGGAATCACAATAGCTATCCTCCAGCCCTCCGGCACCTGCCTTCTGTCCAGAGAAAAGTTGAAAATTTGGGTCAGAATCCTGTGATTTTTTTTTTTCCCTTCATCTCCCACAGCATCTTGGGAAACAATTCATCCGGATGTGGGAATTTGTTCATTTTTAAACTTCCAATACCACCTCACATCCAATATCAAACTGCTCAAGAACCTCACAGTGCATCATCTTCTCGAATTCTGTACCTATATCCTCCTCCTCCCGAGTAGAGACAGGTGTAACATAACACTGTACCAATATCTTCCGACACCACATACAGGTTTCCAATGGAACAAGGGGCATCTCTGTCTGCCAGCATTTATTCCCCGTCCCCAGTTGCCCTTGAGACGGTGGTTGTGAGTTGTCTTCTTGAATCACTGCAATCCATGTGCTGTAGGTAGACCCACAGTGTTGTTCAGGAGGGAATTCCTTTATACCTAATGGGCCCTACTTTCTCTGGTTATTCCCTTCCTTCCCCTTGGTGTACTTGCAAAATATCTTCAGATTCTCTCTAATCTTGCTTGCTAGTGTTTATTGATGCCCTTTTTTTTGGTCTCTTAATTAGGTTCCCTTCTGCTCTTTCATTAAACCATTAGGACGTCTGTTGATTTTGTTTCCTTTGCACCTGTTGTCATTAAATCATAGAATCCCTGCAGTGTGGCAACAGGCCCTTCGGCCCAACAAGTCCACACTGACCCTCAGAGCATCCCACCCAGGCCCATCCCTTAACACTACAGGCAATTTAGCATGGCCAATCCACCTAGCCTGCACATATTTGGACTGAGAAGAAACCGGAGCACCTGGAGGAAACCCACGCAGATATGGGGACAATGTACAGACTCCACACAGACAGTCCCCTGAGGGTGGAATTGAACCCAGGTCCCTGGCGCTGTGAGGCAGTAGTGCTAACCACTGAGCTACTGTGCCGCCTTAAATATATCTCTCTTTTATATGTTATATGTCTCTCGTTTCCATTTTATGTGGTCCTGAATATTCCTAGTCATCCAGGGTTCTCTGAGCTTGTTACTCCTACATTTCACTCTAAAGAGAACATGTTTGGCCTGTACTCCTCAATACCATTTTGAACACGTACCACTGCTGTGCTGTAGATTTACCCTCAAGTAGCAATTCCTCATCTACTTTGGCCAGATCCTGTCTTATTTTAATAAAATCTGCCCTCCCCAATCCAAAATCATCTTTTTTTTTTTTTTTTGCAGATCATCCTTTTCCTTTTCTATAACAAACTTAAAACATATGGCATTGTGGTTGCTATCCCTAAAATACTTACCCTGCTGCCACCTGGACTATCTGTCTGGCTTTGTTCTCCAGAATTGGGTCCAGCTTTGCACTGTTCCTTAGAGAACCAACAACATGTATTCATAAGAGCTTTTTATATCAACCTCTACCCCTGCTAAATCCTTCATACTGTGATTATCCCAATCAATATTGGGTTAATTGAAATCCCCTAATATAGTTGCCCTATTATTTTCTCACACCTCAGTGTATTAACTGCCTTAATGCTCCTCAATGGCTGAGGGTATATAACACTGACCTAACAGTGTGATTGCCTTTTTTTTTTCCTTTTACACACTCCTCTCACAGCCTTATTTGAAAATACTTCCAAGGTATCGTAAATAACACAGCTGAGGGTATGACTGTAAACTAAGTTGTTGGTTTTGGGGTGCGGGGGGCGGTGTTTCAGTTGCATGGAAAATCATATACCATAAAAGGAAAGTCATTAAAGGTTGAAGAGCAGTTAGGATTATAGCTTAGTAATGGGGCTGATTGTTGCCAGAAAAGGTATAGAATGTGTGAATGTCATATTATACCAAGGAATCGTAAAATGTAGGAAAATGCCAAAATATAATTAACTTGAAGACTTTGTTTCTTATTGTATGAAGCATTCAGAGTAAGGTAGACGAACTGACAGCATAAGTTAAAGTAAATGCACATGCTCTCATAGCCATTATGGAAACATGGTTACAAATAGATCAAAACTATGAATTCAGACAGACAAGAGAGAGATGGAAAAGGTGATGAGGTAGCACTGTTAATAAGAGATGAGCGCAGTTGTGAGACTCGATACAGATTTAGATGATGCAGAGTCTGGGGCAGAAAAAAATCAGCGAAGGAAAGAAGACTGGTAGGACTACTGAACAGACCCCAAACAATAACCACTTTGTGGGAAAGGCTATAAATCATCATATAATAGGAGCATGTTTTAAAAAAAACAGTAGTTATGGATGATTTCAGTCTTCATGTTGATTGATTTAATCAAGTTGGAAAGGGTACTATGATAGCAAGTTCATAGAGCGCATGGGATAGCTTCCAAGAGCAATATGTTTGGAGCCAAGCAGAGAGCAAGCTATTTTGGATTTGATAATGTGTAATAAAAGAACTAATAAATAGCCTCAGTAAAAGATTCCCTAGGAAATAGCAATCGCACCTGATAGAATTAAATATTCAGTTCGAGAGTGAGAAATCTGGGGCGGAAGCAGCTGAGTTTAATGTAAATCGAGGGAATTAAATTGAAATGAGGATAGAGTTGGCTAACGTGAAAGTAGGAATGACAGTAAGCAAGCAGTGGCAGGCATTTAAAAGAGGTAATTCATGACTCTCAGGAAAAAAATACATCTCAGTAAGGAGCAAAGAAACTGAGAGGGATAAACCAACCATGACTAAACAAGGAACGGCACGGTGACTCAGTGGTTAGCACTGCCGCCTCACAGCGCCAGGGACCCGGGTTCGATTCCAACCTCGGGTGACTGTCTGTGGAGTTTGCACGTTCTCCCTGTGTCTGTGTGAGCACCCTCTGGGTGCTCCAGTTTCTTACCACAATCCAAAGATGTGCAGGTTAGGTGGATTGGCTATGTTAAATTGCCTGTAGCGTCTAGGGTAGGAAATGCAGGATTGGGAAGAGGGTGGGTCTGAATGAGATGTTCTTCGGAGAGTCTGTGTGGACTTGATAGGCCGAATGGCCTGCTCCCACACTGTAGGGATTCTATGAAAGGAAGCTCGGGAGAGTATTAAAATGAAAGAAAAACCATATAAGGGGGCCAAACTCAGTGATAACTCAGAATCCAGCAGAGGATGACTAAAAAGACAGAAAGAAACAAACTGCAAGGGCAAATTAGCGAGGAATATAAAAACTAATGAGCTGCTTTAAATATATAAAAAGGAAGAAAGAGGTCATAGGCCACTTTAAAAAATGAATCTGAGGAGACAGTTTTAGCAATGAACAAGCAAAAATAGTAGAGGAATTAAGCAGATATTATGCATCAGTCTTTATGGTGGAAGACACTTTGAACATCTCATTAATGCTAATGAGTATGAGGGGATGGGTGGAATTAAGAACCATCACTATACCGAAAAGTAGTATCAGACAAACTAGTGGG